ATGTATATACATAATCGATAACCAGATAACGGGGACGTTATGTAAAAAAAGCCGGGGGAGATGTCACGAAGTGACAGTTGTACATTAACTTAAGCACTTGTACTTTACCTTATACATTGTAGTAGCTATAGTTAGAACCCTTCCTTCGGGCGGGGGTTCGCTGCCTGTTCGAACACACCTTGCGCACGTGATCACCACGTGCGCACGCGGTGTTGAGCAGGTGTTCGAACAGGTAGCAACGACACCTGTTCGAAGGAAGGGGTTCTAGAAAGGTAACGTTGGGGAGATCAGACTTGAAAAGATTAAAGAAACGACAGGACGACATCTCTGAGTCTCCGTGTCTTCTCTACGCCACCGTGACATATATTTAATATCATATTTCCTATGCACCATTCATTAAGTGCTGTCCACATATAGAGAGATATGGGAATAAGAAAAATATCAAAATGGTGCTTGTTTTGTTTTCTTTATAGTATATACATGTATGTAACAGTACAATCAGTGTCCAGGGAAATAGTAATTGAAAGGTTATCTGAGTTGGTAAGTTACATATTTTATTAAAAAAAAAACTGTTCTCCAACTCAAGAAATTTGAGTTTTCAACTATATCTGTCTTCATCAACTATCTGAGCCAAGTGCTGTGGCATTATATTTTCTACATCACTTTGATTGCAGAGCTGTTTGTGTGTTAACACAGTAAGTTTATGTTTAACGGTGCTTGTATGTTTTCTATCACAGTGTGAATGTTTACAGTAATCTAGTAATCGCCATCGTACAACCTATGCTGTCTTGCAAATATTATTTAGTATTTAGACAATAAACCGGATAGTGAATGTGAGTGAGTATGTAGTACTGTCGATGCAGTTAACTGACTTGTTTTTCTTGTGTTTGGTCAGCCAAACAACAAGAGAGTAGTTACAAATTAAATATTCCACTTTCAAGATCCAAACGCAGGGGTCAGGTGTTTGGTGTAAGTAGTGTAAATGACTGGAGTTCTCTACATACACCTGATCTTATGGTCAACAGTCAGTGGAAAAGATCTAAACTTAAGTACTAGTACTTAGACCATCACTGGGAGCACCTGTGGTGCAGGCACGAAGGAGTCAACTACACCAGTTCACCACAGCTTTCTCAACTGCATGCGGAAAAAGGTATCTTAAGTGGTAAATATAGTGTTAATGACTTGACATCATGTTCAAATATATTATTTTCCACTAATTCAAGTTAATAAGTGAAAAGATAATCATATTGAATCTATTTACAGCAGACCCTTGTTAGACTAAAAGTCTGTACCAGTTTAGCAGTATTACTGCACAGAACTATCAAAATTCAGTACATAAAATATCTGTCATGATTACAATTTGCAGCACTGTTTATGTGCGGGTTACAATATACTTTCATGAGACCATTTCAGAACCTAAGTGTACTTGTATTTTTAGTATATTCCATCTGGGTTTGGCTTCAAGCTTGTTCATAAGTTTATTCCCTCTTCTCCTAGCATGAGGTTTTTTTCTTCTCATAGGAAAATGGTCCATTTTTTGTACCATGTATTTGGCATGTCTCTTCCATTTTTCTAGATGGTAAGTTGAATTGCTGCAATTCACTACTGCACACAGCTTCATGTTGAGGTCGGGAAAGTAACACTGTAAAAGAAAAGAGAAAAAAATTAGAACCAAAAGTTGATGGATTTACGTTCAAAACATCAAGTCTTGAATGCACTAATGCAATGGCATTTGCATGCACAAAACCCCCATGGCCCTATGTATCCCGCTACGAAAACCACACTAAATATTTATAAACATATAGATGTCATCACTGCTTGTACTATTCCTAAATCATTATTTTAATCGGTAATAATGCCGTGGTGAGACGGTGAGGATTGTGGTTAGAAAGCTCATTGTGCTTGGGGTGACACAAGAACACGTAGTGTATCGGTCTTCTGAAGACAAAGCTCATGCAGTTTATTTACAATTTTTACCGACTAAAACTGAAAAATTCCACCATTACCTTACACAAATAACCACTCTTACACGAAAAAAGGTATTCCAAAACTCGTTTTATCGAGATTGGACCGGAAAATTGAGCGGAAAACGTGAAGACGGAAGGCGTGCAGGATGGGGGAGGGGGGCATGCATAACTAATTAGGCGCTAGCGCTAGCTTGGATACCGTCAAAAAACGTACCGTAAATCCACTTGAAGATAAAGATATCGCGATATTTTAGGCAAGATAGGTCCAGAACATCGTTGGAACTCAGCCCAAGGCGGGCCACCACCGGTAACGCCGTGTGTAAGCTGGAAATCGAGACATACGCTGGCGCTGGGGACGATGGAGGCCGCGGGTTTGTTTATCTCCAATTCTTCGTTGCTAAGTAAACTCCGCGCAGGCGCACTAGTAATGGCGAATAGGCTTATAATGAAAGTGACGTAATTCATTACACCACGTAACCCTAAGTAAACTCTTTAAAATCAAGTACAGTCATGCATTTATCCCTTGATATTAGAATTTGGTATTTCGTCTGTGAACTGACCATGGCAGATTGTGAGGTACTCAGATAAACCGTGATTGTGCTACAGATGTCGTGTCGTGTTGTGTTGTGCATCTGAATAACATTTCAATCTTTTTATCCACTTTTATTCAAATATAACCTAAAATTCTATCTTGCTGACCATGAGGGTTGATTTGAATCCACCGGTTTGCAGCAGCGTAATAGTTTCTCCGTGTATTTGTTTACGCAGTTTGGCAGGACCGCACTCCATCTGGCCAGCTTGAACGGGCAGACTGGGGTAGTGGAGCTGCTGATTCAACATGACGCTGATGTGGAGAGGAGGGACAAGGTCAGTACAGACAATCATCTCATGTAGTTAGGATTTAGCAGCAATTAATGACTATTAAGAAATGTCTACTGTCCTGAGAGTATTATCTGATTTCTTTACTTGAGGCCCCATTAGCCACGTATGACAGAGGTTTTTCTCAACTAAAGTGTATGAAAATTGTGTGAAAATTGTTATGTAGCTTATGTATACATACCTATATGTGACAAATTAATAAAGTTTAGGTTTAAAGTGATGAATAGCCATAACATTTTCTTAGTTTTTTTTATATACTATGCTTGATTATATACATATAACAGTTAATTGTCAACTTTAAAAGCTGACTTTCCTCTTAAACTAAAAATTCTACTTTGCCGCTCTTGAGGGTCTGCTAATATGATCAACCAATGTACATGCTTATAGTTTCTACGTGTGTTTACACAGAATGGCTGGACCGCACTCCATCTGGCCTGCGAGCACGGGCAGACTGGGGTAGTGAAGCTGCTGATTCAACATGGCGCTGACGTGGAGGCGAGGAGCAACGTAAGTACAGACAACCATCTCATGTTCATATAGTTCGGGTTAGAAACAATTATTGACTATTGAGAATATTATCTGATTTCTTGACTTAATTTTTTGGGGCCCATTAGCCACGTATGACAGGGGCTTAATTTTTTTAAACTTAAGTTCAAAAAAATTGTTATGTATCTTATGTGTATATACCTATATGTGACAAAGTAATAAAATTTAAAGTGATGGATAGATATAACGTTTTTATATTTTTATAAATATTATATGCTCATGGCATATAGTTGTCTTTCTTAAACTTATTATAAAATATTCTACTTCGCCGTCCTTTAGGGTCTGTTTGAAACAACCAATGTGCCGCAGTGTTATAGTTCTCCGTGTGTTTACACAGTATGGAAGCACCGCACTCCATCTGGCCAGCTGGAACAGGCACACTGAGGTAGTGAAGCTGCTGATTCAACATGGTGCTAATGTGGAGGCGAGGGATGAGGTAAGTAATTAAAATCATCTCATGTAGTTAGGATTGAGGGGCAATTACTGATTGTTGAAAAATGTCTACAATCCTGTGAATATCATCTGATTTCTTGACTTTTTGGCCATTGGTAATGGCAGGGGCTCATGTTTGGTAGCTAGGGACTTATATATACATGTATTTATTGGGTCATTGCTGTCTTTGATCAATCAAAATGCAGCAGAGTTTTTGTGTTTTCACAGGGTGGCCAGACCACACTCCATTGGGCCTGCAGGTGCGGGAGAACTGAGATAGTGAAACTGCTGATTCAACATGGTGCTGATGTGGAGGCGAGGGACAACGTAAGACAATCATCTCATGTATTTAAGATTAATTGCAGGGGCTAGTAATGATAGTTGACATATGTCTACAACCGTTTAAATGTTCTCTGATCTGTTGGGTTTTAGTGCCCATAAGTCATTAAGCAGGGGGTCAATTGAAAGTTTCAGGTTCTCTAGTTTAATTATTGGTGCTGCTGTCATAAAAGCTCAATGCAATTGCAGCCTTCCCTTAACTTCTGCCAAGCGAGACGAGCCGTAGAGAAAAAAGTAACCGAGAATATAGTTACGCACAGTCCTAGCTATTTCTTATTGCATGTGGAGGGAATATGTTGTTACCTGCTATCATATAGCATAATAATGATCCATAATACATTTGTATGTCGGTTTACGTTCCCCTATGCTCTGTTCCTCCATGCAGAAATTAATCTAAATTTAACCCCGCCTTTCAGGAACACCAAAGTAGCAATCATAGGAACAAAAATATTGAAAAAGTATATTGTATAATATTATGTATATTGTATTACGTTATATAATTAGTATAGTCTCTATTCCCCTACACAGCATGGTGGAAAACCACTGGACGTGGATGACCAGGGCTACCGGCGTTTCCTAAAGGTTAGTAAATTGTTGCTTATAGTGATGTTTATCACAGAATGTTTAGCATTAATTTTTCTTCATCGCGTTGTCAACTGCATTTATAGTTTGAAAGCCTAGTACAGGAAATCCTTCTCTTAGATCTTGACATCACAATAGAATCGTTTGTTTCACGATTGTGGGGTGCCTATTCTGGTTTTGCTTAATGAAACTGAGCCTCATATCTGGGAAAGGCTCAGTATATTCGGAAGATAACTGTTTACATTGATCATCCAGAACCTGGCTGTTGAGGTTCCCTACCACAAACTGATGAAACAGTCCGGTGGGGTGAAAGTCAACAGGTTTAAACTGTGCTTCTGTGGACCACAGGAAGCTGGCAAATCTACTCTGGTGGAAAGTCTTGAAACGGTAGGAACCTATACTAGAATTTACTCTATTTAGAACAGTTCTACCTTTTTAATGAAATTAGACATCCATAGCACAGAGGTACGGTTTGCATTTACCATGTAAAGTGTATATTTATCTACACAATGCATTATTCTGCCACGGTCAGATGGTGGCCACAATGTGGAAACTGTTTCTCATCTATGTGCAGTCCCGTGCAAGTGATTGAAGGCTGTATGACGAATAACGTTTGGGCAAGTCAAGAAGTAATGAATACAGCTTGGTACAGATAAATCTGGACCATTATTTTATTGCACTAATTAACCGTTCAATGATATCCAAAAGCTGTTCCAGTTTTGAATTTACTAAGAAAAGGTTAAAAAAATCTTGACCTTCTTATACTAACATAATTAGAATACCATTTTCCTCCATCAATTTTATGATCATCTAGAGACCTGTCACTGCCTTCTTCCGGGATCGGATGACTCCAGACAATCAGCCACACGAGCCCACCCCAGGTGTGAATGTGGGAACAACCAACATTCCCGGTGTGGGGCAGGTCAGTGTGTGGGACTTCGCTGGACAGTCGGAGTACGCGGTAACCCACAGCATGTTCATGGATGCAGAGAACACCATCTTCATTGTGCTGTACAACATCATGGACGATACTCACACACAGAAGAAAAAGGTGATCAAACGTGTATCATGATCCTCTACATAGGTAATCATGACTAAGATTTAGCCTCCTTGCTAAGATAAAACGGATATTATTAATCTCAATCATGATGACACCTCACTGCTTGTTACAGGTCCACTGGTGGCTGTGCTTCATCAAGTCCTGCAACACAAATGCAAAGACTGAGCCTAACATTATCCTAGTGGCCAGCCATGCGGACCAGACTGATACAGGTTTGTTATGTTACATTATGATATGTACCGGTACTCACTACTACTAAGATTGTCTACTACTAACTACGTATCTATAGAGAAGAGTTCTTAAAGCCACTTTAAACCAAATAAAGTTTTGGCTTTAGTTGGTTTAGTGGTTGAAGTTGTTGCTTGTCTCCGCCAGGACATCGACAAGCATCTTCCATCCTTGAGCTGATGGCGTCAGAGTTTAAGGGACATCTAAACATCTCAGAGGAAGTGTTCCTGCTTGACTGCCGGAAGACTCGTAAAACTGACATGAGGCGTCTTAAAGACCTTCTGACAAAACTGAAGACTCAACTTCTTGCAGTGAGTTGTTTCCTCCTGAAAAAGTACACTAATCATCTGGCCACAGAATTGATTTTTATTTTTCTGTAAACACTCCTAGTGTATTTACATGTTACTAGACAGACTGTGTATGTACATTGCTACAGTAAGTTAAAGTTAAATTCAACACCCTGAACTCACAGCAAAGAATGTACCCTTAAGATCATCCAATGGTAGTTATAGCCCTGGATCCTGCTCTATTTCCCTGTGTAGCATCAGCGAGACATGCCTAAGCTGTGTGCCGATATCATGAAGTGCCTACCAAGATGGGCCAAGGAGAAGTGCAGCCCAAAGTGTCCTGTCTTGAGATGGGCGGAGTACAAGGCGGCGGTGATGGAGATGATGGGGGTTGACCAGCTGACTAATGAAGACTTTCTCAAGGCATCTTCACGGTACTTGGATCACCTTGGGGAGGTAAATATCAACTTATATTGAGCTCGCTGAATATAAGCGACTGCCAATAGCCTGCCTTCCGCTGTGTACTAGTATTGGTAACTTGGTGTTGGTCAGCTGTCAAACAGTCTCACTTTGGCTTCTGATATGTTCATGGGTAACGCTTTAACCAGTTTATCATACAACATATATTAGGTAATCAGTTGTAGTCAATCGATGCTACTATCAAATGAATTACTGAAGAATTGAAACAAAGCAACAATTGTTATCAAGTTTAGATCATTAGACTTGCCAGTTGTCTCCCATGCATTTCTTTTTATATTGTTCCAGATCTTGTTCGTCCCCACACCAAATGCTGACCCCATCATTGTCCTGAAGCCCAACTGGCTCTGCACGGATGTCTTCGGCAAAGTGATGGCACCAAAAAACTTCCCCATCCAACATCTAAGAACCGTCAACGATGTCATCACGAAAGAGGAAATCAAGAGGGTGTTCAAGGATGTCGCCGATGTCGATCTCCTGATCACCCTGCTGCAAGAGTTCCAGCTCAGTCACTCCTTTGACGGACAGAAGTTCATCATCCCAGGGCTGCTGACACAGACCATGCCTCCAGACAAGTGGCAGCCAACTGCGAACCCCGCCAAGCCCGTGTACTTCGGCAAGCAGGTCCAGTGTGCTGACACCACCGACATGTTCTCCTCCGCATTCTTCCCCCGTGTGCAGACCCGCCTGATGAGGGAGCTGAAGAAACGCCCGCTGCTGTGGAGAGACGGAACCAAGTGTTTCGACATCAACGTGGAAGGTCTCATCAAGCTCTCCCCAGATGGCCGTGCGGTCAACATCTGCGTGCGAAGCGAGCAGGGCGACAAGCTGAGCTGCCGGCAGTTGCTCGAGAACATCGAGAACATCCTGATCAACGTGCTCGACGAGTGCAGCCCAGGCACCAACACCGAGAAGAGGGTGCTCAGCGCTCGTGCACTGAGGGAACACAGAGAGGAAATCTACTCCTACAGCATGGACCAGATCGACAAGGCCAAAGCAGAGGACGGCTTCGTCTATCACGACATCCTCGGCTTCACAGAAGACGTCGATGACCTCCTGTATGGCGGAAGAGACGAGAACGAAGAGGAGCAAGGAGCTGTTGGAAAAACGGTCCATCAGACGTACAACGAATATGTGTCCGGGACTGGTAACCTTGTCATCAGGGCAGGTGATAATGCTCACTTCGACATGGCAAGAATCATGCAAGGTGACCTTGGACAACTACAGTTGGAAGGAAACGACCCTGGTGACCTTGGACAGCTACAGTTGGAAGGAAACGACCCTGGTGACCTTGGACAGCTACAGTTGGAAGGGAATGACCCTGGTGACCTTGGGCAGCAACAGTTGGAAGGGAATGACCTTGGACAGCTACAGTTGGAAGAGGACGTCCCTGGTGACCTTGGACAGCTACAGTAAAAGGAAATGACCCTGGTGACCTTGGACAGCATTAGTTGAAAGAGAATGTCCGTGGTGAGCTTGGTCAGCAACAGTTGGAAGGGAATGACCTTAGTGACTTGGACAGCAACAGATCATGCAAAATGGGCCTGATGATGAAATGCTTGAATGAGACTTTTCTAAGCTGTAAATATATTTCTCAATGATGAACAGATGTATATTTTTATCAGTGTGACAGAATTTTATACAATGATGTTCAAATCTCCAGTTGTAGTGTTATGTACCATTATGAAGTCAATAATTCTGTCTCTGTGTATCCAGTCTGAATATTGAAAACCTTCAAGTTGGTGAAATAGAGCCTGAGCCAATCTGAATCATTATGCACTCTCCATTATACAATCAACTATCTGTGGTTAAGTGCCGGATCCTTGTAAATGATAGGCAGAGATGACAACCATTTGCAGTTTACAATTATGCTTTACCTACTGTAACATTCCATGTGTGATTGTGCGCATTTATGTAGTCTCCAAAGTACAGAACCTGTTTACAATTTACATGAAACATTGCTCCATGTTGACTAGGGAATCCCGCTTTTTCCATTCTATCTCTTTCTATTCCCGCAACACTAGGAGTCTTTTACTTAAGCAAGATCCTAGGTGATGTCAGTCTACAGAATCAATCAAGTGACAAAATGGAATAAAGTAGAATTCCCAAAGGTGGAGCATGTTATTGATAAGTACCAACCAGCAGCATTAATATATTTCATCAGCACTGTACACAATCATATATTTTACCCCTTAATTACTGCTGCTAAATTGCTATTATCGTTTTTACGGCATGTATATTTAAAGAATCCAAGTGGAAGACAACGCAACATTTTAAACTCAGAATTCCTGTACATTCATTAAGTAGTACTTAGACAAGTCACTTAATTTTCAGTAGTCATAACTTTAAAAATTCTTGATTCTTGTTGAAACACTTCTGTACCAAAAGCAGAGCCTCTTGAATTAGCACTTGAAACAACCGGTGCCCACATGTATGTTGGTGATCCTTTGCAAAGGGTAATACATTTTACATGATTTTGATTTCTTCCACTATCTATACATCAGTGTTCAAGTTAACATTTACATGTACATGTAAGTACAAAATTGAGGAAATGTAATCTTGGCATTGTGGTTGACAATTATAGTGGTTAGTAGAAGCTGTATTTCAATGAAGTACAGTGCACATAAGTAACATTCATGATAGAAAGAAAATACAACACATACATTACTAGTACATGGGTAACGATATACATTGGGCAAGTATTTTGTACAGCTATATTATGAATGAGAATTTTAATTAAGTATCCGGAATACTGTTATTTTAGCAACAACAATAAATTAGCAACTTCAATGGATGGTTAAGATAGCAGCAGACACTATATACAATGTATAAAACGTGGGTTATAAAATTCTCGTACCTACTTTTATAGTCAGGAATAAAACCCAGCTAGTTTCTTCTACCATGTAGAAACATAGCCCTTACTGTTCGCATTATTGTGTTAGTTGGTGTCCCCTTACTTTAATCTGTAAGGTAATCACTCAGATTTACCAGAAATAAGCACATTATTGCAACAGACTCGCTCGACAGTCCAACAATACTACTAGCTCTATGATCACTCTGTTCAAAATTAGTTCACCAAGTTGTATTTTCACCACCCACTGCCCTTTCCTGTTGTACATGTACACAGCACGTCGGCGGAATGTACTGTGTCTGTGCAAAACCCTGATTTTTCACGGTTTTCGTTTTCAAAGTTTGGTCAACGTTGCATCAGAATTTTGCCTGTTGCAGACGATATCTTTTCAAAGACAACATTTGGAAACTACAGGCGGAGTGTTAACCTTATATGCGCAAATACGACATTATATGAGACTTTCTGCCAAAGTGCTATGCACACTACATTACAGGATTCGCACAGATACAGGTACAGTACGTTTTGCCAACATGCTGTGGTTCACCCCTACACTGCTTAATGCTAAGTACCCCCTGTCTTCCAGTACCCCCCCCCCCTACAGGTTACTCTTCCCAGCTGGAGTGTCCACGCCCCCTGCGTCCACCCCCCCTGCGGCCTGTGCAAGGTCAATGACCTGTTGCGAGGCCTCGATGTGCTGTTCCTCCATGTACCGCTGACTGTTCCTCATCGTGTCTCCCAGGAAATATCTGTGGGGTATAAATAAAAACAAATAACAAGATTAATGTATGTTTAACCTTTAGCAGGGTAGGGAACACAGTTGTTAAACACACAACACACATACACGTACACACATGTGTACACACACACACGTACACATTCTCACACACGTACACATTCTCACACACGTACACACGCACGTACACACACACACATGTGCACATACATACACAGACACATGCACACACACACGTACACAGACACACACACACAAATTCTTACACACACTCTCTCTCACACACACACACACAAAAACACCACTACCAGTGGACTGGCCACAACTGTGTGGCCCAAGGAATGGAGATTGGCAGTCTGCCCTATGCACCATATATAGTTGAAGGAAGGAACTTTGTCTTGACTAGACACATGACAAGTCATTAAGTGCTGACTAAGGTGTACATGTATGTAGCGCTGACCTGTAGTTCACCATGATGCCACAGGACTGACTGATTCCCCGAGGATTTGTGTCGGCTTGCCAGTTCAGCCTCCACAGGACCGCTCCATTTCTCAGGTGGAAATTAGCTGGGGAAAGAGAACACCAGCATCAGAATAGCCTTCGTAACGAATCAAACAATTCTGTTCCGAGAACAGCCATGATTGTGTAATGATATTCAAAACAAGTTTTGGTGATATAATCCTTGTACAAATCAAGTGAGCAATGCATTAAATAGCATATCATCAGCTCCCTCAAATTGTGATGAGATATGTTTAAGTTTTTCCTTACCTACAGGATTGACAGCATACCCTCTCCTCTTCTCAAGATACAGATATCTGGGGAACATGGGGATATGTCAGTCTGAGTATTATCTTACCACAAAAATAAAACCACAACAAAAGTTTCATGGTTTACAGTAGTCAGTCAAAAATCAAGAAGACTGCTTAAAATAAACAATTCCTTTTGTTTGTTTGTTTGTTTGTTTTATCCCCATCATTTCAAGTGGGGTCGTGTGGCGCAATGGCAGCATGCGCGACTCGGAATCAAGAGGTCCTGAGTTCGAGTCCTGACATGACACCGATCTTGCGCCCTTGGGAAAAGCACTTTACACGACTTTCCCCACTAGACTCAAGTGAAAATGAGTATTGTCTGTCCAGTATTCGTTTCTATGTGTGGGACACAACCAGCAACAGCTGCCTCTGTTCCGCGTGTATTGCACTGTTGCAATTTCAACAAATCAAATCAATTTCCCTCACCTTGCACATAATCTCATGAGCGGGTCTCTCAGCATCTCTACCATAGACTCTGCTCCCATCCACTGGTTGGTCTGTAGGAGTTTCTTCAGCGTAACCAACGGCAACGCATCCTCCTTCCCAGCAATCTCTGCAACCTTCTCAAGTTCAGCCGAGGTCAGGAGGGCCGGAGGTGTGGATGTAGGGCCGTCAACCCCACTGTCATCTGACGAGGAAGACTCTGAAATTACGTTGATGAAGGTTAGACAGTGAAAGTAAACGATACTTAAAGACTAAAATCAAACTCAGCTACTGAATAAAAAACCTCTCTCAGATGTTTTGGAGTGACATACATAACTCTTCTTCAGCATCATTAAAATGAACTGACAGAACTAGTCAACACTTAATAGGTTGCTGCCTCTACCAGGCTTCGGGAGGCGGCTGGAAACAGTAGAAATCAGCCAAATAGAGAGATAACATGCCAGCAAGAATATGTAATTGGATGAATATTGTTGAATTATTTTTTTTTATTTTTGTGCAACAACTTACAACTCTCAAAATACAAGTGAAGCATGTCAAACTGAACAAAAGGAAGACATAAAAACTGCAAAATTATTTGTTCCTATTTGTGTTTAAAGGACACACAAAGATCTACATCTTTCTGCACCCACCTGTAGAACTGAGCACCTTGTTGATCTCTCCAACCAGCCAGTCCCTGAATCCGGGGATGGGGGAGAGGGACGAGAACTGAGTCATCTTGGGAAACTCCGCCTGAAGCTCCCGCACAACGCGCTTGATGAGGTAGTTTCCAAGTTCAACCCCCTGGAGACCTGCGGGTCAAAGGTCAAGGTCAACCAGCAGTACAACTTGAATGGTTAACCTGATTGACAAATTAAAGTCCAATATAAAAATATCAATTGGGGGAGAAGGACGAGAACTGAGTCATCTTGGAAAACTTCGCTTGAAGTTCCCGCTTGATGAGGTAGTTTCCAAGTTCAACCCCCTGGAGACCTGTTGGGTCAAAGGTCAACAGTACAATTAGAATGGTTGACTTGTACATTGTACATCCAATAAGTTGTTAGTGGTTCTAACCCTCAGTTACGGGAAACAACAGACGATAAACCAGATAGAGAGAAAGAGAGAGGCTCAATTGTACATCCAAAAATGAGTCTGCTACTGGGTATATCAATTTTCCTGGCAGTGCTCATTCCATGTTTCCTTTACTGTTGGAGAAAATTTTTTTTGATTTTCCAAAGCCCAGATTCTGCATGGTAAGTACTGATGTTTTATTTACTCTCCAAGCAGAAGTTTAGGCTTCGACTGATTTTGACATGTTTTTAGGCATTTTTGTTTATACTCTGCTTTTTTATGCCAGCCCAACTACCTTGCAAATGGCAACTGCCTGGCAATTGGATGGTCTTGCCAATTTGATACAGTCTTTGCAGCCACCAAAAGCTCTGCTTGGAGATTACGACTATAATGGTCACATCTGGCTAATGCCAGTTGCCACCATAGGATGACGCTTTACTGACCTTTCTGTGTGGAGGTGATGGAATAAAAGATGGCGGTGTTGATGTCGTCTGCATCCTCTTCGTCTGGGAGAGCCGTCGCCACAATAGTCTGGAAACGGGAGAGAAGTTCATCAAACAAACTTATCTGGGTTATTGTATAATCATGTTTACTCAACTCCGTGTTATCTGAGATCTGATTGGTCTGCTTAATTAACTCACAGGTATGTTATCAGAGATCTGATTGGTCTGTGTAATTCCCTTGGATGTCTCATTGGCTGGTACAATTCACCTAGATGTCATATCTACGATCTAATTGGATAGTGAAATTTAATAGGATGCTATCTAATTGGTCGGCTTAATTCACCTGGATGTTATCAGAGATCTGATTGATCAGGGTAACTCATTATATTAGGATGTTACCAGAGATCTGATTGGTCCGAGTAACCCACCTGGATGTTATCATAGATCTGATTGGTCTGTGAAGCCCACCTGGATGTTATCAGAGACCTGATTGGTCTGTGAAACCCACCTGGATGTTATCAGAGATCTGATTGGTGAGTGTAACCCATCTGGATGCTACCAGAGATCTGATTGGTCTGTGAAACCCACCTGGATGTTATCAGATATCTGATTGGTCTATAAAACCCACCTGGATGTTATCAGAGATCTGATTGGTGAGTGCAGTGTGCAGGACCACCACAGGTTCCCTGGGCATGGTGCTGTGAGTGAAGATGAAACATCTCCTGTTCGGCCCGACTCTCCGCTTCAGGTCTGTCCAGTTCCTCATGGGGTGGACTGCCTCGTACTCACTAATCTGGGCAGTGAGAGAAAATTGGGGGTGTACGGAAAGTGTGAAAAGAAGCAAGAAGTAAGCAAAAAGAAGCAAAAAGGAGCAAACATAAAGGAACAAGATGGAATGAAATTGAATAGCAAAGAACATCATACATTAAAGATTTTTTGTAGAATGCCCATACATGTACTTCAGTGCAAAATACAAGTACAGGGAACTGAGTACAGCAAGGCCTAAAATACACAGAAGTTGGAGGTAAATGTTCTTTTTGCTCCTTTTCTGTACACATTGTTAATTTTGTAACAAAAATGCACCTACAGTTCCAGAACAAGCTGCTAGGGGACCTAAACCTACATCACAATCTCCCACCCACCTGGCTCCCTTCCCTTTTTTATTGGGAGGCATACTTTTTATGTAATGAATGAAACTCAGTGGCCGTACCTTTTGTAAGATGTCACATGATGACTCCCATGTTATCCTCTGTAGATGCAGTAGCCCTGCTGAGAACCAATGAGACAGCATCTCTCTCAAACACGAGCTGAAGCTGCGCAGCTCGGCACTGACGCTGCTGTCCTTCACTGTGGTCAGCAGGTCCTGGAAAAACAGTACAAGGTTTTTTATTATACTCATCCTGTTTGCAAAGGCCCATGACAATGGGTATAACCAATTGGGTCAAAAAAATTGAACAGAATAGAGGTGCAGACTGAATTCCTCCTTTGAGGCAACAGTAGAACTTGCCTCAAAAGATGGGTGTTTCATAATCTTTTTGACAACAAGCATCTGAGAGTAACGTCTGTGTGTTTGCCAGAACCAATAATTACATACTCTTCTAATGTTACAAAAACAAGAACTGGGTAAAGTCCCACAGACTTTGAGGCAATAGGGGTGCCGTCTTGGGCACAGTATTGAAAGGCTGAGAGCCCATCCCTTTCTTCCACTGCCTTTTACCTCCCCAACAGAAGTCAATGAAATTTTTGCATCGAATGGAGTGAGAAAAGGCATGTTAAATGCCAGTTTTTCAAATGTCAGTTTTCTCACTGAGAATCAAACCCATAACCTGTCAATTTGGTATCTGCTAGCCTAGCCACTCATACATTCGACACAACAATATCCTTAATGAAGTTAAAAATTAAGAGATTCTAATAACACATTCAATCTCTTCACTTGCATCCCACCACTTACCAGTGTGTCTGCCCTCATGTCCACAAGGTATTTGACTCCTCCCTCCAGTCTCCCAATCTGCACAAACAGGTCATGGTACCGGGGCACCAGTGCAGCCTGGAGTCTCTCTTCTGCCTTCAGTAACGCACCTTCACTCTTCTCCTGTGGTACAGGCAGGGATGGAAAAGTTTATGGTGAAAAACTGTGAAGAGAACATTTGTACCTAGTGTTTCAAATTTCTCATCTTTTAAGGGTATAATCCAATGCGATTTCAGGGTGGCAAAACTGGTGCTAAATAATGGTTAGTAAATGTCAATTTCAGACAGATTTCCTCATTGAAAATATTTTTAGTTTTCTGTATGTGCTAAAATTGCATTGGATGCCTTTAATGCTTTGTGACAGCAAAGTTTCAGCACCAGCAATATTCAATGCAGTTCAGGTGAAGTATAGTAGCCTGGTGATCATACTCAACCCCGTAAAAAATTTTTTGGAGTTGCCGTTACAAATCAAATGGCAACCAGGCTAGGTGTAGTACAGGGCGGCAGCAAATAGAAAAGCCGGCTGCTACGATCGGCTGCCAAACAAACTCTGGTCGGCTGGAACACCCAAAATCCAACCCATTGAGTATTATCACCAAGCTAGAAGTATAGTACACTACATGCACTCCATGTTTCTGTTATGTAGGGTGTACCTTTGCCTGTGGTAGACCCTCGGCTGCCTTCAGTACCTCATCGTGGTCTGTACCAAACTGCTGGGAGATGACTCGCAGAAATGTGGCCTTGTCTTCTGGGGACAGCGATCTGTACACGTCACACAAGTGCCTGGTCTTACCCTGGTGGAAAGACGAAATCAGGTAATTACGGAGTTACATGCATATTATACACTAACCAGATGCCTACTTCACAGTGTAGAAGCTTATTGCCTCCACGCAGGTACAGAGGTATTGTTTTGGGTAGGTTTGTCTGTGGGTTTGTGTGTATGTTTGTGTGGATGTGTGGTTACAGTTGATTGACAGGGAGGTTAAGGCTGAGGTTGGGTTTAAGGGACTACAATGTGTAAGTGGGTGGTACATGGAAGAAATCAGGTGTTGGCAATGTGTGATATGTGAATAAAATATGTTAAACAATCCCCTCTAAAGTTCCAATACATTCACGAAAACCCAATACACTTCCCACTTGCGATGAGATCGGAAATCAAATGATTTCTTTTTTAGGCTTGCTTCATATTGGCAAAAAAGCAGCAGCTACTGCATGTACCTCTGGTATGGTGGGCTTCTTCAGCCCGGCTTCTTTAGGCCCGATGATCTCTGTGACCATCTGTGAGATGGTGGCCATGAAGAAGGAGGGAGAGGAGGAACCTGCCTCTGCTCCATCCGCAGAGTTCTGCAGACCCGAGACGTTCTGCGCATAGATCTGTGGGAATGAGAAAAAAGGCTCATCACTTTTTGCAAACAAACAATGTGCTTTGTATTGTTGTAAATTGTGTAACTTTTGTGATGGCTTAATTTTTCGGTAAAAGCAGAAGGGAGGTTTTTTTTTATTTTCATAGTGTTTTAGATTAATTTTGTGGTTGAAACAATTTCATACTACAGCAGAGGTTACATTGTATAATATATCACAGTGTGTGTATTACAGTACATACTACATTTGTACTAGAGTAATTGTATACCTGATGGCACAGAAGAAGTATGAAATATTATCTTATATGACTGCTATATGTATACATCATAAGGGATCACTCAAATAGCGACAAGAATAAAACCACAGTGCAAAAGTCTGAACTTACAGGACCTACAATAATTTACCTTCAGCCTCTGCCAATGAAGAGATCCCTTCAACATGTTTTTGAACCAGAATGTCACTAGTATTAGTAATGTTACTGCATGTACCAGTACTGGCTCGCATAGATCCAACACAACAGGCAACACTCTATCCTTCAGTGTCCTCTAGACTGTTGACCTTATACAGGATTGACCCCTGAACCTATGCCATTTATGTTTACCAAATAAACTTCCAGTACTGAATCTATCCATCCTACTTGGCAAGTAGGAGGTTCTGACACATTTCTGAGCTTAAGACTCACAAGATATCTTATCATTGAATTTTAAAGATTTGAAAACAATTCTTTCTGCATAAATAGAATCAGGATTTTATTATCATGCTTTATAATTATAACAAATATTGATATGATGTATGACACCATTTTGATGGATCATACATTTTCATTTCATATTGGAGTACCGGTAAATGTCAAAAGTACGAGTAGATAATTAAATTGTCAATCCTAGAGCAAAGCAATTTCATATGCACATACATATTGCAATTTGTATCATTCTCATTACAGCCAAAACCTCCTGATGACTGGCATATTTTTCTATCTCTTTCTTTTTCTTTTCTTTTTTTTTCTTTAACCCTTGCATGACGGGGAACAACGGACGCTAAGCCGTGCAGTGAGTGAGTGAGTGAGTGAGTTCTTTTATCTCTTTGAGTCTTTCTTTTATCTTTCTTGCAACAGAAAATTACGAATCAATGAACATTTCTTCTATGGTAGAATATACTATGGTATATGTAAGTAATACTAATACTGTAATAGAATTATTTATTTACTATCATGGATGATTTAATACATTATCTTGCAATGTCTGCTGTCAAACTTGATGGACTGATATGGTGATTTAAGGGATGGATTCATCAGTGACAAGGTGACCTTAATTAACCTTTACTTAGCTTGCCTGGGTATTCCATGCCAACAAACCGGTGCTAATTCACTGGTAACTTGGTATGATAAAGGTTAAACAACCATGCATACATGTATATAACACTTGTAACAATGGGGTTCGAGTATAGTTGTGTACTGTAGCAATATCAAGTGGACTCCATCTTAGATATAGATATAGTAGAATTCATGCTCCTGAATTATTCTCTATTGCATATCATAACACTATTGCCTTAGTTTTGACAAAATATTACCAAATGTTTGGGAGTAAAATTTATATGCAAGACATGCATGAGATGATACTCAAATCAAATTACAGTTGCCAAAAATACATGACATGTATGTCTTTCCTCAATAATCATAAATACACAAAGTTCTATCTTCAATAAATCATGGACGAGGTACAATTTGAACAGAATAAATGTAATCCAGTTGATATGATATCAACAATTCTGTAGACACAAAAAGATGGTACCTTAATACAATAATTGTTATGTTATTATAAAATCTTTCCTCAATCATAAATGCACAAACTTCTATCTTGAATAAATCATGGAGGTACAATTTGAACAGAATAAATGTAATCCAGTTGATATGATATCAACAATTCTGTAGACACAAAAGATGATACCTTAATACAATAATTGTTATGTTATTATAAAATCTTTCCTCAATCATAAATGCACAAACTTCTATCTTGAATAAATCATGGAGGTACAATTTGAACAGAATAAAATGTACTCAAGTCGATATGATATTAACAATTCTGTAGACACGAAAAGATGGTACCTTAATACAATAATTGTTATGTTATTATAAAATCTTTCCTCAATAATCATAAATGCACAAAGTTCTCTTTTGAATAAATCATGGAGGTACAATTTGAACAGAATAAATGTAATCCAGTCGACATGATATTATAATATTCAACAATTCTGTAGGCACAAAAAGATGGTACCTTAATACAATAATTGTTATCATGTTATTATAAAATCTTTCCTCAATCATAAATGCACAAACTTCTATCTTGAATAAATCATGGAGGTACAATTTGAACAGAATAAATGTAATCCAGTCGATATGATATCATCAACAATTCTGCAGACAAAAAGATGGTACCTTCCTCAGCTTCTGCCATCTAAAGCCTCCTTGGAACATCTTTCCTCACGCAGAAGCACCCATAAGAAAAACCTGAGATAAATCTCTTGTTTCCCCTGCGGGCCTATGACTATGCTCCAGAGGAATTTCCACAACATGCATATCAACAAGCTCCACTCCATGTGGCTAGACCATTCAATCTTCCACCTTTGTGATGTCATCGGGGCAAGAGCCAATCAACAACCACCTTGCATAATTAACCCTTATGCAGCCAATCAACAAACACCTTACATAATTAACCCTTGTTTCGTCATTCCATTGACACTGTGCAGTTATTTTGACATCAGAATTATTCAGTGATGTAGTTCCAGTTCTAGAATGTCATTCCAGCATTGTTACCAAATAACAGAAAATATCATAGACATTTGACACAGAGATATTGGGTCTTAATTGTATGTTTTCCTTGGTTTTTATCTTAGAAATTGTTGTATTTGACTTAATATTTGGTATAATATTACAGAAAAACGGGTCAATTTTGGCAATTTTATAACAACAAAATTTTATATTCCATAACTCTCTCTTGTGGCCTGAGCAGATTAAAACATTTCCTGAAAAAAAAATCAATAACATAAATAATTCAGCATGTGGACTGTTACTGCTAACGTAAAATTGCTCTTGTCAGACAAGTGACCGCAATACCAGGCCAGCAACAGTCATGCATTTTTTGCTATTGCCCTGTATTGGCTCACCGTAGAACTTTCCAGTGTAGGTGCAACCATGGATGAATCAACTGCATAGACTATGATAGAGACAGCTAACAATAATAATAAGTCAAGAATAGATAGTGTTCTTGAACCATGTGAATACCTACAGTATATAACTCTTCTACTGGTCGTGACAGAAAAAACAGACCCTATATATGTACAGCATTAACAGATTCAATTGTACTGGGGAAATTCTTTTTCTACAAGCACAATGAACACTAGTGGACCACGGCATAACACCCCATCCCAAGACTGCAACCCTTTCCAGAAGCGTGCATGTCAGGTGAGTGACAACAGCCGGGATTAGAACTCCCAACCTTCTGTTCCAGAGGCAGGGTGGCCACTCAACTGCTATGCAAGCCACATTTCATATCACATCTAATCCATGGCAAGAGGCCAGAATGAAGTCTAGATAGGGAATTCAATGCTTCCCAAGGCCAAGGTCAGGTATGTTTGTTGGCATTAGGATGAATATGATCGCTCAATGACGCAATTTGCCTGCATGTGTTCGGTGTTCTATGTACGATATATAAGAACTTGTCCACAATGATACACATGTATTTGTATGTACAGCTTTTAAAACCTCCCTCTGGTGTAATACACCAGCTAAGCCTAAGTTAAATGCTTGCATTTATAACGACAGTGAACCTTAATCCGACGCAACCTTAATCAGACACTTTTCAACACTCCTCTGTCTGTTAGGATCTAGCACTGATATGCAAAATCTTTTAATTGCTTTACAAACTCAATAAGGTATACAGCATAAAAACTTGAAACAGTGAGCTAACGAAGTCAACATGATGTGGAGACGAGGTCACGAAATTTTCAGCCTGTTTTACACTGGTAGGCATGTCGCGGGCGGTCTAACGTTAAACGTACAAAGATGAATTGACTGAAAATCACTTACATGATTGTAGAGCAGAAACATCATCACAATCTTAGCATAAAATTCATACTCTAACTTTGAACAATTAGTTTGATTATTAGTTATTTATTCCTAAAAGTTATTTTCCAAGTAATCGTTGTTAGAGTAGAGTAATCTGTACGGTCAGGTAGGACTTATGTGTCCAGTTCCACTCAGGTGTAACTGTTCCCCCTACATGTATATAATAACGTTACAGCAAGGACATTATACACATAACAAGGACATTATATCTGTGTATAATGTCCTTGGTTACAGTCACCAATCAATAAATGGTATAGACCTTATGCGGCTAGGCTAGCAGAGATCTATACTGACCTTCCGAAGTCTCTGCCACTTGAAGCTTCCCTGCAACATGTCTGCTCTACCGGTACAGCATCCTAGGGAGTCCGCCCCCAACCTACCACCAACTCTCCACGCCCCGCGCAAAAACATCGGAACCGCGCGGGCTTTGACGTATTAAACGTAAGATATAAAAAGAAGGAAACTTATTTCTGGAGCCCTGGCAGCTGTCTGTGCCACTCATTCCGTGCTGGGTAATTATTAACAAGATCTCGGGGTATAATTTCTCTAGTGATGATAGGCCGGCTGAGGTTTCGTGTTTGCATTCTTTGGATTACATTCCGGGTCAAACTTTTGAACACCGCATCAAAACGCTCATGTATTCATTTATACAAACTCAACAGGTTTTAAGAATATAAACATACCTACATATACATACATATTTTGTTACTATTATATAAAATACATATCATTATCTTCAGTAATTTGTAATTTTTGCGAGTAACTAGAACAGATTTTCAAGAATTCGCTTTAACGTTTTTAGCGTTCACTGCGGTCTTTTGAGGGTCAAAGTTAAAGGTTGCTGACGTTTCCAACATGGCGGAAAAAGGAGCAAATTTTTGACGACTTTTTATATTTTTTGCCTCGGCAGCTTTACCCTTGCACTCTTCAGTTACATGCAAGTCTTTTTGTTCTAGTAGAAGGTCGGTAGCAGTTGTAGGAATCATTTTTTCGTAGATTTTTACGCGTATGGTCCTAGATTGAGCGTTACAAGTTGTCCGTGTCGTGCACATGTTAGGGGTCACCTAATTATTTTCCTAGCAGACGACAAACCAGCAACCGCACTGCCATGTTCTCAACACCAAGACTTCCTCCCAGGACGGTTTTGCCCACTTTTCTTCGCTTGTCTGACGCGTTTACCTCAGAAACTGCGAGGACTACCACAACCTGGACTCGTAGGAACATACCAGACCAGGTATTAGCGATCCCAAAACCTTTGGAAAAACTTTCCAGATTACCTTTCAACCTTGCGAATCAAAGGACTGCCTCTCATTTTACTTCTCGAGACCGTATGAACAGTAACCCTCCATTGCTAGGATGTAAGAGGAGCAATGGTTTGACAGAAAGTGTACAGAGGCATGCTGTGAGCATGTGGACGTCAGGGCGAAAGACAGACTGGCAGAAAGCTCTGTCGGATGCAGAGAAGGTGGTGGGTTATCCGACATCCTTCATGAGTCTACGTTACCTCCTGAGCGATGAGCTGTCCAATGTCGCCATGCATCTCAGGAAACTGGTGGGGACGAAGCATCCTATCCTCAAGACCGCAAGGTGCTGTACATTGATTTATGTTGTTCTTGTTTTTCATGAGCTCCACTCTCCTTTGTGGGATTGTGGTCTCATGTGCTTTTCTTCTTCTCTCATGTGCATACATTACCTCCTCTCTCTGTGCATGTGTAACATTTACTCTACTAAATAACATAAAGCAACTCCTGCAATTAGATGTAACTGGTTGTTCAGTGTGATATGAACAGGAAAGTTCTGTATTCACAAGAGCCGACGTTTCAATGACTGTCTGTCATCTTCATCAGGGCAACTATGAGTGGTTCACTGTGGACTGAAGCTGTATGTATTACTAGTTAATAGTGAAACCTCCAATCTGTTGCTTGTGCATTTCCCAGGGGGTTTGTGTATGACGGCAACAACAGCATGCAGACCCGAGGCCTTCTGGTCCTGCTGGTGTCCAAAGCTGCCGGGCCAGGAGGGGAGTGGGAAGAGGAGGAAGAAGAGGAGGAGGAGGAGGAGAGCAATGGGAGGACCATGGTGTCTGGCATCTATAGAAGGTACATGTGTACAGCGCTAGCACTGGAACCACGTTTGCATTGAAACCATGTGCAGATATCTTGTGTATAGATACATTTAGAAAGAAAGACATGAAAAAATCAAACAGAATGTTGAGCTAGTGTCTGGATTGTCTGGCTTTAAAAGACCATTGGCCTTGAGTGGAAAGCCTGGTGGATCGAGATCAAGAGGTCACAGATTTGATTCCTGGCTAGATGTTGTGTCCTTAGCAACAGGACTTTCCTGAGACTACATGTACATGGCGCCTGTGTTTGTTTGAAGAGACAAAAGGCAGTGGAAGGAGGAGGATGGCTCCACCTTCCTTTACCATGCCCTAGATACAAACTATCAAGAACGTACTGCCCCTTTGGTCTGAAAAAAGCTACCGGTATATGGCAGCCTTTCCTTAGAGTATGACTACCTTTCCTTAACCATTAAGAGTATTTGCTGTAATCTTTTCTTCACTAGCCAGAGAAGTCTTGCAGAGATCACAGAGATGATCCACACGGCTTACCTGATGCACCGCGGGGTCGTGAACCTGGAGGAGGTGACCTCTGCTGACGGAACCGTCGGGGACATGTCCTTCGGAAACAAGATGGCGGTCCTGAGCGGGGACTTCCTCCTGGCTAATGCCTGCACTGGGCTGGCCCAGCTCAGGAACACTAAGGTGAAGTATACGTCAATAATATTTTATTTTGTAATACGCAATATAGCTGCATTAAGTATAAATAAAGTAAATGTATGAACTGTAACCTAGGTTTTTGATGGTTGTGTGTACATGTATAACCTATTGTTTTGTATTCTTTCCCCAGGTTTATAGTCCTTAATAATAGCTATCACTAGTTGGACAACAATGGCTGTACATGTAATATGTTCATGCTAAAAAATAACAACATACCCGGTAGATTACATGTTAGGGAAGAGACTTTAATCTATAAGGATCAGCAATACTCCCAGTAGAGATCCCAATAAAAGTCTCTGTCAACAGAAATTTAACTACGATCAGTAGAGATCTCAATGCAGTCTCTGCTGGTACTGCGATTGTTATATATTTCAATACCTGGATGTCGACCTTCATCAACGAATCTGACTATAAGTTCTGTTTATCTTGTGTATTGTACATACATGTAGGTTGTGGAGATAGTATCCAGTGCTATAGCCGACATGATGGAAGGATCATTCCTACTGGAGCAGGATAACCAGGGGGTCACCTTCCTACCTGACAAGGACTGGAGAATCAAGGACTGGACCGACCACACCTTCCTGTGCTCAGGCTCTCTCATCGCCAAGTCCTGCCAGGCTGCCATGATGCTGGCTGGACACATGATGGATGTGCAGAAAAAAGCCTACAACTATGGGAAACACATGGCACTGGCGCACAGGGTATGAAGTATCCGTGAATAGTTTCATCAGGTTGGTAAGTCACTGAGTAAAGAAGCTCTATAGCAGCGACACCTGTGTTGCAGTGCAATGTGAACCAGTCAGAATTGCCCTGAGGAAGGTGATAGACAGTCACCGAAATGTTGACACTTGTTTGTGTTAAAAAAAGAGCTTCTTTACTCAGAGTATGAAGTAGTCTGGACCCTCTGACATCCAACGCTTGGGGTAAGACCACACTGACATAATTATGTGGGTGACACGCACATCAATTTTCATCTGTTTCCTCCCAAAACGGATGACGTGTACGTACAAGTCTTGTTTTGTCATTAGATATAAAAAAATGTATAACAGTGTGTCATCTCTCTGTTACAGCTCCATGCTGACCTCCTGCCCTTCTCAGACTCCAGTGACCCCAACATGCCCTTTGCCCTGACCTCTGCCCCCCTGGTGCTGCACATGGAGCATGCTGGGAGAGCGGCAGTCACCGACAAAATCACTCAGGTTCGTAAAAAAGTTACCCTGGGTGCCAGACAAGTTTACGGGCCGCTAACCGTTTCCTTCGGCAGCCAGAAGCCCTTCGCCCGCAGACCTAGATTACCGCTGCGGTGGAATTGAGCCTGTGGTGAGGTTTCAGCCCTACAACGTTTGTAGGGCCAGCCAAACTCCCGTAGCGGTAATTTACACCAGCGGGCGAAGGGCTCTTGCAGCCCGGAAAACGAGTTTGGCTCCCACGGTATAAAATAGTCCTCTCATCAAGTAGCCTCAGAAAAGAAATTGCAAATTCTATTACAGCATACCTTAAATTAGCCACTTCACGCCAATTTTATTTGTTGGGTCTAAGATTTTTAAAACAATATGCTTAACTGGAAAAACATTACGAAATCGAAAAAAACACAGTGTAGGTCAATGACCAGAACCAAACGTCTGTCACCATGGTAACTTAAGTGTTGGGTTACATCATGTTGCAATTTTATAGCAGGAGGGATTTAGACTCCTGTCTGACTATAATTATTATATATGAATGTGTTTGAGTAACAGAGTAGACCATATGCGAAGGTAAACATACATTTGCTTTGCTAATGTTACCTTTCAAGTATAATTATCGATACTTCTTTTCATTTTGACCAAGGTTTCAGACAAGTCGATGAAGGTTGACTACAAGCAGCTCCGCCTAGAGGTTTTGAGCGGTCCTGCAGTCCATGCTGCTAAGGAGCTATGCTACGACCACGCCCAGAGAGCGCTCGCTGCTGTGACCGTGTTCCAGGAGTCAGAGGCTAAAAGTGCCCTGGAGAACATGACTAGGGCTGTCACCAGGTTCTGAGTACCCTGGAACTAAACTCGTTTTCTGGGCCGCAAGAGCCCTTCGCCCGCTGGTCTAAATTACTGCTACAGGGGAGTCTAGCCTGGGGGGAGTTTGGCTGGCCCTACAAATGAATGATCCCCACAAGCTCAACTCCACTGCAGCGGTAATTTAGGTCTGCGGGCGAAGGGCTTCTGGCTGCCGAAGGAAATGGTTAGCGGTCCATAAACTTGTCATGGAAGGTTCTGAGCTTCTGGAAAGAAGACTGTTTCTAGATCTGCCAACTAAAAAAGTGCATTTTGGAATCCCAGTCACACCAACATCAGGTTGGGGCTTGAAACACAACACAACTAGAGAGCTGTTTTTGAGTGAGAACTGAAAAGGTTTAGAAAGAAATTATTTCATATCATAGCATTGTACATTGGCTTCCTTCTGTCAGTCAATATTGACAATGGTAAAAATCCTAACCGATATCAGCCCTACAGTTTCAACTGTGAGTGAGGGCAGAATAAAAGTATCCTACATTATATGGTAGCACCCTCACCCTCGAGCTACTTGTTTATTGAAGCAATGAGTGTGAGTTTGAAGATCTAGATGGAAAGTTACATGTTTGCATGTCATTTTTAAGTTACATTTTGTAAAAACTGGCTTGCATGAGGCACATTTTTTCCCTTACCAAGAAATATTGTGTATTTTGGTGTTGAGAACAAAAAAAGGCGGAGTTTTAATTACTGTAACTTAATTTTCTTAAAAGTCCCGACATATTCTGATATAAGTTAATGGAAAACGCATGTTACATGAGTTCAATTCAGTGAAATTATTTTACTAGGCATTATGGCCTTGTAGGTTTCAGTGGGTAGATGTTTCATCTTTTTGTGTGCATCATATTTTTTGTCATACATTATATGTGTAACATCTGTGTCCATAATATCACCAGGGTCCATAATATCGCCACCTTGAGAAAAAGTGTGCTTCAAGATATTTTTACTGCAACATACCCTAGGTATGTACATTTGAGGTGTGCAGGAGTGCATACCAAAAGTATGTTGCAGTAAAAAATATCTGAAAGCACACAGTTTCTCAAGGTGGCGATATTATGGACCCTGGTGATATTATGGACACGGATGTTAATGTGTCAATGTAGAATATTTTCCTCACTTCTACATAAATACATAATGGAGTACATTTTGTAAGTAAGTGATAAATTAAAAGTCAACGCTGCTCAAATAGGCCTACACATGTGGGGAATAAGTAACAAAACTAAATCATAATATAGCTGAAGACTTTTTCTTTGAATACTGTTGATGAAACCTGGGTCTATGAGTTAAATTTACACTACGTGAACATTACCATATACAGTACTGTATTACTTTTACTCCCAAATTTTACTGAAATTGTCAACATTAATACAAAGATGGTGCTATAAAAATGAACATTTTCACTACAACTTTTTGTACTTTGTTTCTTTATTATCACAGTGGAAGCTACATATGTATTTACTTACGAGACCATGATTTTACCGTACCACTAGATGTCTGTACATCATCGATCTTCAGATGTGGGGTTGTGGTTCTATTTGGCAGATTTGCCACCACAAATACAAAACTGAAGATATCAAATCCTTTTTCAATACAAAATTTCAGTTTCACTCGCTATATACCTGAACTAGATACACAAAATTTATTGGTAACAATTATCTAGCAACAAACCAAAGCATTTCTTTACGTTCTCAATACTAATATTCTTACGTCTTTGAATTATCATTGCAACCATTCAGAGGAAGTTACTTTCATATTCACTGTATAAAACAGCCTTAGAAAACAGCTTACCAAATAACTATAATTATGCAAGTTACAGCTGGCTGTGGTAACATCTTTGGCAAAACTTGTTAGTACAGTCAAACCTGTACGAGTGATCACCTCTACATAAGGACCACCTGGCCAATATGTGACCACTTTTTGCTGGCCCATTAGACAATTTTTGGACACAAGCAGTAAGATCCTGTCTACAATGACCACCTGTTCACATAGACCAGATTTTATCAGTCCCCCAAGTGGTCTTCTTGGGAAGATTTTACTGTAGGTAAATTTCTTTCACAATGACAGCAACATATCAAGTAAAGGGTTCTACCCTCTGCAACCACATACTTAAAGAGTCTAGTTTTATTCTGCAGCAAAATAACATTGTTTAAGTCCTGACTGTTTTAAGATGTACTTTCACCAAGTACGAAGCCAGACTTTGAAAACATTTCCGACAAATAGATGAAAACAGCTTTGGCAGCAAAATGTCTTTTCTCTATGCAATTTCACCAAAAGCCAGGGCTTGAAAACAGTTGACAAATAGAATAAAACAGACTTAGTTTTTATGAAATAAAGACTGAGCTTTAACTTCCAACAACACTAGATACAGAATTGGGACTTACCCCAAATTTTCTGTTGACTCCATCAACCTTGTTCACGGAATGGACCCGTCTACTCTTGGAACGTGACACGTGACCGTAGTAGCGGGTCATACGTGCCAAATAACTTGTGTTGCCCCCCATCTCTGTTCAGGGTAGGTCTGTGAGCTCTTTGTCTGTCTGTGAGACACGTAACCCGCTACTACGGTCACATGTCTCTGACGTCATGTTCCAAGAGTAGACAGGTCCATTCCGTGAACAAGGTTGATGGAGTCAACCGAAAATTTGGGGTAAGTCCCAATTCTGTATCTAGTGTTGGAAGTTAAAGCTCAGTCTTTATTTCATAATGATTTGTACCAACACAGATGAATTTTCATGCTAAGACTTAGTTTTTCTTTTCTGCAGATCTCATGTCCCTCTGATGGGATCGGATGCTCTGCCTCATCCCCTCGATGTCTGACGTGATGTCCTCTTTCTTTCCCTCCTCCTCCTCATCTTCTTCTTCTTCTCCTCCCTGGAAATGAAGGAATGCAAAAAAGTCGAGCAATTGAAGATGGCAGTGGCTGCAAAGTTGAAAGTGCAAAGCCAAGTGGTGGGAAAAACTAGAGGTCAAAACCTTAAGTTATATAATACCCCTGTATGGATCCCAGAACCCCACTCCCTCAGTCAAAACATAGAGATGTAAAATAAAAACACAAAAACTCAAAATATTTGATGGACATGCAAAAACCCACTCTATCATTGATTGTTCACTGCTAATTGTTATGGACCGTCAGGTGGTCAAACAACATTGTGGAGAGGACAGAAGTGATGCAGCAGTTAATAAAATAGGTTTGGTAACCAGGCTATATTTTGGTTGCAGCAACAACATGTCCGTGTTAAACCACATTGCCCAGTGGGGGTGTTCCTACCTCAGCCATCTTCATCCTCTCCCAGGCGCTCTGGTTGTGCTGCTTGAGGGACTTCTGTTTCTCCATGTGCTTCAGCAGCTGCAGCTGTTCCCGAGCAGCAACCCTCGCCTCCTCAAACTCCTCAGGCTGGAACACAGACAGTGTGACGTTGTAAACAACAAATCATTGAGACGATATTGGGACGGTACTATTACTTGACCAGTGCTTCTCTTACCTTGCTTACATTTCAATGTCTATCAGACACCTTCCTCAGAATGTAATTTAACAAAGTAAGAGAAGTACTAGTTGTGTAAAACAAAATCTGAATATCCTATGTTTTACCAACTTGAATAAACACAAACCTGCAACTCAGCCACCCAAAACAATACTTCCGTACCTGGAAATAATGACCAAAATACTGCAAGGTTGCAGGGAAAGTAGACTCAGATATTTGGCTGACAAATGCTGTAATCATTTTCATGGATGGTTAATCATGCTTTCTACAGTACAGATTACCAAAGTGACTTTACCAAAAAATATCTCGTCTTTCTTCATTAAGTGACATCTCCCCACTTACCGACAGAATTTCCCGAAGCTCTTCAAGGTCATCTTCGGATGTCATGTGACCTGGGAAAAAGTTTTTGGTGAGGTCGGACATCTTGGGCACATCTGGCTCAAGGTCATCGATACTCTCCACTTGATTGACATTCTTCGACCTTGTCCCGTTGGTCAGCGGTTTCTTCTCCTCAGCTTTTGCGGCCTTTTTTGGTTTCTTGTCCGCTTTCGCTTCTGTTGAAGCTTCGGGCTCTGCGTTCTGGTTTCTCACAACGAAGGTCTTTTTCCCGTCGGCTCTTTCTTCCTCCACTTCGGCGGTTCCAGGCTGGACACTGAGGTCAACCATCCCCTGTTCTATCTCCTGTGGTTGGAGGTAATGGTACCAACAATGCTGGGAGAAGCCATGTGAACAAGCAGGGTGGTGGATGTAGTGCATTGCGAGTGATCACATGTAAATGTGATTGAATGAGAATTAGATATTAATCAGTAAATAAAGTCAAGTCAAGAAACAGTGATTTAGAAGAGCAGGAAGGGACAGCAACATAAAGGGGGTGAGATACAGAAGAAACAGACAAGGAAGATAAAATAACATAATATCATACAAAACACCATGTGAACAAGTGGATGTAGTGCATTACAAGTGATTAAATGTGATTTGATGGCATGAGTTGTTATGTACACATAACGTATGATGGTGTAGAGTTAGATAATAGTGACATGTTTTAGAAGAGCAGGAAGAGGGAGCAACATAAGGGGGTAGACACAGAAGAAACAGACAAGGAAGATAAGAAACATATACAAACACAGCACATAAAAAAAGCACATTGAAACTTGTGATTGACAGCTGTCAGTTTTCCCGAAAGTTCACTATCAAATATCATATGGAACACTAAAGAATTTATGAAAGCTTGAAAGTAAACTTCTATGTGACCATACTTAAGGCCACACCAATTTAATTTGTTGGTTCTTGGATTTTTTCAGAAAAAATATGAAGCGACAGGGCGAAAAAAAATAAAAATAAAAGCAGGTCTAGGCATCCTATTGTAGGCTTAAATGCTATGGAATGAGTCATGAAGTCAACACAAAAGGCTGGGTTAAAATTTAAACATTGAATTTTCAACTTTTAATCAAACCACTGCAATGATAGATGGGAAAACTATAACAAGTAGGAAGAAAAGGACTTTCCTCAACTGTTGGGGGCAAAACATGAGCATTTTTCAGTTGATTCAGGACCAGAATCAAATTTTTTTTTTTTTGCAAATCAGAAAAAAACGAAGAGGTGAATCCGAGAACCAACAAATTAAATTGGTGTGGCCTAATGCTGAATGCTGTGTGACACCAAAATATGGAAAAAAAAAGGTTTTACAAACTGCAACAATACACAAGACAGCTGCCAACTACACAATATCTATAAAAACTCACTAGCAAAATGTGTCCTGTTAGTATCACTCATCAAAAACTGACGCCTGCACAAAAACTGAGAAAGTTGTTTTACTTCTTTATTCAAAACAACAGTGGGTAATGGGGGAGATCATCATGATCAAAGTGTGTGCAAAATTTTCTTTCAAATTTTCATCTGAAAAATCTATAATTTTCCCTGCTTTGACCACAAAAGCTTCATATAGTATACATGTATACCTATATTGAGAGTATAGAGCTGCTGTACAGTTTATCCACACTGTGATACATATTTGTCAATGATTATTGTTGGATCAAAAATCATCTTCAAGACAAGTTGAAAAAAAATGTTTCATCAACAGATTTGTAGAAGGGAAAAAAAACTTTTCATGTTTCAGTTTTTACTTATGCATACATATCTCACATTCAAAGACTTTATATTCATTTGCTTCTATCTTGTAATAAAGTAACCTATGCTCTTATACTGTACACTAACTACAAGTTTACTCCAAATGTACAAAACGTCACACAGAGATGGTCTATCAAGACTTTAAGTTGGCAAATGTTTTTAAGGACTCTAACAGCTGTCAATCACAATAATATGGCCAAAAAAAGAAGAATTGTGTACTTCATCTTCTTTTATCCTTGTATAATTGCATCTGCAATCTTAAATAAATGTTTTCTTGCATGACCTAACCAGTTGTCTGTATGAACATACATTCAATGGTATGTCTAGTATAGTACATGGCTGCTAGTAGAAGTCACAAGTCCCAAATGCAGGCATCAGACAATGAGGCTGTTCAAATAAATACAGTACAAGCCGACTGGAGTGTTAGACAGGGTGAGTCTAGCCTGGGTGCCAGAAAGTTATCCCCTGCACACTGGATAACTTTGATCCTTATTGTGCAGTGGGTCTGGCACCCAGGCTAGTTTGAGTCTTGTACATGCAAACTGGAGTGGCGTGCTGGTCAGTACTGTTCCACACTGCTGACATCATCATACCTCCTCCTGGTCCAGGTCCGCCTGCCCGGGCATGTCCAGACTTGCCCAGCTCCCGGGTTCTAGTTTTCTCAACTTGACCTCCACTTTTGTCCCCAGTAAATTCACAGTACTCTTTTCTACATCAATCATCTGAAATGAGGAAAAAAAAGTATAAGATTCACGTTAACAAGACCACTTTACTTAAGAGGAAAAATCTATACTCAAGAAAATGTTATGAATTTCTGTTTATTCCTGATTGTGAATTTGTCCCAAGTAAATTCACAGAGCTCTTTTCTACATCAATCATCTGAAAATGAGGAAAATTCTATTAGACTCACATAAACAAGATCGATGTAGGTAAGAACAAAATGTTCTTAGTTTGGAATTTCTTGTTTGTAGCCTGGTTACCAAACCATATCATAGCTCCAGAGTCCTACATCCTGTAAGCAATTAGATGGATTTGAGGAGAAGATGTAGGATTCTGGAGCTATATAATAGATTTGGTAACCAGGCTAACTTGTTTCCTTCATTCATTATAGCAAATTTCTCGCTGATTCTAGATCTGTCCATGCATTTTCCCCTCTGGCTCTCATAAGGCAAGAGATATGCATAGAAAAAAACTTAAGACAGAAATGAGATGATCTTTTCTGGGACCTTTTTTATTTATTTATTTATTTATTTATTTGGCTTACAAAGAAGCCAGGGTGTCCCAACTAGTCAGAGACTATTGTTAAGGGACACCCTGGGGAGTAGGAAGAAACGTTATACATACATAAAAATACATATTACAATCCAAATACAATAACAATAATATGTGCTTACATTTATGAAATACATATTGTTTGAGTGGTAGAGTGGGACCTTTTTACCTAACTTCCTCTCATTGTCCTCAACGTGCCTAGCACATGGAAGTAACTAGAGAAACACAGTCAAGCAAACACACTAACAGACACATCGAAAACAAGACCTCCATACATGGAAGTAATTATAATGTCAAACTTACCCCTCTAAGTACAACATCTTGCTGGAACTGACTGTTCCCCTGGTCAAATACAACATTCATCTTTACCTGCAACAGAATACAAAATACACTGTTATAAACATGTTGGGATAAAGTGGACATGATTAACGTACATGTATAAAGAAATGATTTACTAACTCATGCACATATACAACTCTTCCATTATCAATGTCCCGATTATTGTTTTTTCATGACACATTGATGAAGGTTAGACTTCCAGGTAATTGTTACTCAAGCAACTGGATAAATTTTGTGTTGCTTGACAGCTTGAGTAACATTTTTCTTGTGCTCTTTTCTCAGATTTTGTTGACTATGCAAATACTGGTGCTTCCTTAGAAAATGACAAGAAAAAAGTCTGGCTGAACTTCTACTCACCCTGACTCTGTTGGCCTCCACAAATGTTTTTTCCGGGTCGCAGACTTTGGCGTAGATGGAGATGACAACTAAAGCTCCAGTCTGATGCCAGTCAAACCGACAGGCCACCTTTTTAGTGTCACCCTGAAAGGGAAAAGATCAGAGGCATTTGGAGAAACATTCTTGATTTGTCCCATGCAAAATGATACTCAAGCACTCTTTACTGGCCTGTTGAATACCGAAACCCATTTGTGTGCTGTGTAACAAAGCTCTTTTAACAATGCTTCAATCACTCATCTTATCTACATGTAGGTGGTAACAGTCTATGTAGCAAATAAAAGTCAACATACAGCTATAAGTATGTACAGTCCCAGTACATGGACCAGTGCAGGTTAGGTGCAGGTAGACATCAGAAATACCTGCACAGTTTTACAATGTACCTGCACTAACATGAATATGCAGGTGATATTTCCAGCCCTGTAATGTAAATCTACATTTATACTACTCTTATCTAGTGTTGCCCTTACCTCTTCCTTGATCCAGACATGTTTTCCTTTACTGCACCCAGCCTGACTCAGGAACTCATTAAAGTCAGTCGTCCTCTTGGTACAGCAGGACCAGAACTTGTAACTGGAGAAACAAAATATCAGCATATCCCATTAAACAAAATGATACCTGCATGGCAAGGTGGTCTTGTGGTTGGGTAGTTGACTTAGAATCTACATTTTACAATTACCCCTTGGCAGGCCACAATATTGAGCCCTTGGGAAAAGTATGTCACATCTATTTCCTCACTAGCTTTGGTTAGGGGCATCCTCTTGGATGGGAGGTAAAGCCAGAGGTCTAGAGTTTGAGGAGACTAACACCTGGTGCACATTTAAGATCCCACCGCACTTATTCTAAAGAGTTGGGGACCTTGCGGTAGTCTTACGCAGCTTGTACTTACTGTACAAAACTGGTATGTTACGCCTAATGTTTAGGCCACACCAATTTATTTTCTTGGTTAACGGATTCGCCTCTTCACTTTTTTGATTTGCAAAAAAAAATAAAATTCAGAATCAACTGCAAAATGCTCATAATTTGCCCTGAACAGTTGAAAACAGTCCTTTTCTTCCTAGTTGTTACAGTTATTCCATCTTTCAATGCAGTGGTATCATTAGAAGTTCAAAATTCATTGTTTAAATTTTGAACCAGCCTGGTTTGTTGAGTTCATGGCTCCTATTGTACCATTTTGGCCCATAGTAGGATGCCTAGGCCTGTTTTTATTTTTTTATTTTTTTTCGCCCGCCCGCTCCATTATTTTTCTAGAAAAATCTGTTAACCATGAAATTAAATTGGTGTGGCCTTACCGGTTATGCGAAACAAACAAACAAAAGGCGAGCAGCTCTCACCCTTCGTGGAAGGTGGGCGTGCCGGGATGATACCAGCAGTCCTCCTCGTTACTCTGATCATCCTCGTACGTCTTCTTACAGGCGTTGTTCTTACACGTCGTTCCGAAGGACACCACGCCGTCCGCTGAGATCTCCCCTGACCCTTCTGTTGCCGGTTTCTGTTTGGCTAAGGCCTGTTTCAGAGACGCACCCAGTGTGGTTTTTAACCTTTGTAGGGGCTCTTTTGGGCTACAGAAACAGAGAGAAAAGACATGACAGGGATCTCCCCAGAAATTTAGGACAGAATGGAGGAGGGTGCGAAATATCGGTAAATTTGACCAAAGAACCCTGGAAAAGGGTGTAAAAACACTAGTTTTGAAAATTAACAGGGTGGAGCTGAGATAAGGACTGGGTGGAGGAGCTCCACTGCTCCATTGTTTAGGGAGGTCCCTGCATGAGGTTTTTAATTTCTTGGAATAAGCTTGGAAAAAATATCTAAGCTTGAATTTGAGCTCCAAGAATCCACAACTTGAGCACAATATAATAATCCTGACAAAGAAGTAGGGGTCCATCTCAGTGTGAGTGGTTCAAACCTTACAGTCTTACGCAGCTTACACCTACTGTACAAAACTTGTGTGTTTTGCCAAAGGGTTATATGACACAAACATACAAAAAAAGCAGCTGAGACAAGCAGAGACTAACCTTGGCCTATCCATAACTTCCTTGGGCAGTGGTGCCCTGACTTCTATAACCTCATTCCTGCCTCCTGAGTTGGTGTTCTGTCTGGACGATTCCACGGGTTTGGTGTTGCTATGACAACCGGTGGTACAGCCAGGGAAGTTGAGGAACACCGTGAAGTCCGTCGACTTCTTCTTACAACAGGACCAGCTCTTCTGGGCATCGTGGAAGATGGGCTCACCCGCGTGGTATGTGCAGGCAGCTGGAATATGAAGGTAGGAAATCGCAATTAGAAATAATAACTTAATTTGTCCGAAGGCTAATAGCCTGGATGCCAGGCCCATAGTGAGCTAGGCCCAGCATTAGCCAGTATGAATGGCAGATCAGGGCCTAACTGAAGGGGGCTGTGGCGCATGCTAGCCTTGGAACTGGGTATAGGCCTGGAAACAGTCTGTCATTCATTTCAGCCTCATATAGTCATAATGATTTATAAATGAAATGTTTTTTTTGTTTTTTTTTGCAATTTCCCTTCCATCCATTGTATAATACTACACAGTCTCTACTACATCTCTTGATCAGTAAATCATTTTAATAAGGAATTCACAAGACTTCTGTTGTGTGACTAGTATTGTAAAAGATAGACTAGTGCTGAAGTCTATTTTGACAGGGACATCACCATATTTGGTCATCATTATTTGGAGGATTTAATTTCATTCATGAAAGAGCATCTATTTGTCTTTTTTCATGCGGAGGTGGGGCAATAACTTGTGTACAAGCTGGACATAGTTTCTTGATCATCACTACCCTTAAAATCTTACCAAGGCCAAGGCTAGGCAGGAAAATCATGCTTCAACTGGAAAGTGGAAGTCAGCTGGCGTCTATCCATATCTGATCGCAGCGTTTTTACCACCAAAAAAGCAACACAGCAAATCAACTCTAAATTGGATCCCTATAATTCTCTACCAAAGAACAAACAGTGGACACGTCATAAGGATGTACTATAACGTTATGGTCAAGTTTAAGAGCAGTGCTTTCCTAGCCCCCCTCCCCAACATTCCTTCTAGAAAAATCCCTACTAAACCCGGTCAATTTCTCGAACGTTCCCCGTCAAAATATCCACGTTTTTAGGCACATTATGTTAACTCCACTGCCCCACAAACGTTTGGAGTCAATACTTACAATCGTTGTTCTTTCTAGGGTCGAATTTCTGGCCGCAACCCTTGTTGTAACACTGAACCAAACCCTGCGAGTCAGCCATGCTGCTTTCCTTTCGCCGCAAATCCAAAATCCTCCAAAATCGGGAAGTGCCGGAAATGGAACCTACCGGCTTGACGTCATCATTTGTGGAAACGTCATTTCCGGTAAGAAAAAAAAGTGGATTTTTTTTGGCGACGCCTCTGGGGCTGACTTTTAAATGTACTTCAGTTCAGTGTAAATGTAACTTTATGTAACTTTACAAATGTAACTTTTAACTCTTAAATGTAACTTTTTACAAATTGAAGCTTCTTGCTTGAAAATCAGAAATAAGATTTGTGCACTTGCTCGGAAGACAACATTGGGCACTTTGAGTCCTTATCCATTGGCTCTAGTTACAGGTTTGCGATAGCAAAACCTGTTCTATTTTACCTGGATTTTATGGGCGCCGCCATTTTGTTTCCCGTCATGCAATGGGGCAGGTCAAAGTTGAGTGAGGTGCATTGTGGGACCTGTCACAGGCCTACAGTGTAAGGACGACACCTAGCGGTATGTTTGGAAAGAGCAGTAATTGAAAGCCTACCTGGTTGTGTGTTCATTTTGGCAGAAGTGTATAGAGGCGATGGCTTTGACGTAATAAAGGCGAGTCTGATTGTGTTTAGCACTTGACGTAATTTTCTTAGCATGACGGGAAGGAAACTTGGCGGACCTAATGCGGCGGAACTTTAAAGTTGTTTTTTTTATGATGAGATGGTGAGGCTTTGGTATTAGTAGGGTGGTCTTGAGGATCTTGTCGAGGCCGAGCCTAGGGACGACAGATTGTCCTCAAGTACAGGGGTTAGTAGGTGGGATAAGTG